TACACCTGTCAGGACTGCAGCACCATGTGTATGTGTTACTTTCGTTACTGTCCGCAGCCTTGGAGCATTGAAACCACTGTAATCCACCTTCTCAGCTCCAAAGCTTGGGTTTCTTCGTGAAGCAAAATGTGCTAAAATTTTACTCAAGTGTGCTGTTTTGATAGGTTTAGTCATTTAAAAAAAGTTTGAGAAACTTACTGCCAAATATTAACGGATAAGTAGAACTTGGCTTTCTATGAACAGTAAATTGATCTTGGCACTCCTAACAAGAGGTAATAAGAGCTTATTTACTATTTACCTTCTGTGTAACTTGCCCAGAAAGCAGATATTCCACATCTACTGGAATAATTTTCTCTGTTTGTGCTGACTTTATCATTTGATTATTTTTTCAAACAAGGTGGCTCACCTATGAGAGAGCTAAGGATTTATATAATTATACTGCCTTCATGTATATTTTTTTCAGTTTTTAACTGTAGCAAAATGTATAGAACACACAATTTACCATCTTTTATCATTTTTAAGTGCATACTTCGGTGGTTTTAAGCACGTTCAGACTGTTGTGCAACCATCACCACCCATCCAACTCAGGAATTCTTTTCATCTTGCAGAACTGGACCCCACACCCCTCACGCCCTAGCTGCCCATGCCCCGCCCCCAGCCCCTGGCAGCCACCGCTCTACTCCCCGTCTCTCTAGTTCTCAGCACTCTACGGACCTCGCATCAGGGGATACACAGCATCCATCTTGCTGTGGGGGCTCACTTCACTTGGCATAATGTTTTCAGAGTTGATCCATGTAGTGTATGCCAGAACCTCCTTTTTAAGGCTGACTGATATGGAGGGACTAACTTCTGTCATTTGTTTTTCACATGCCTCACAGCTATTCTGTCTCTCATTTCCTACATTACTGTCTTCTTTGGTGCTCAGTGAATTTTTTTGTAGTGAAACACTTAAATTCACCTCTCATTTCCTTTTGTATACATTCTGTATCTATTTTCTTTGTGGTTACCATGAGGATTACATTTCATATCCTAAAAACACAACGCTCCTTCACATCTCCGTCCCTCTCCTTTCAGTTGCCATGACATCTTGACGCACTTACATCTTTGTGTGTCCAAAACATAAACTGATCATTTTTTAAGTGCACTTGTTTTTAAAATGTTTTATTGTAATATACTTGACATACAGTATTATATTGGTTTCAAATATACAACATAATGATTTGATAATTATTTACATTATTAAATCCTCACCCCAAATAGTGTGGTTACTGTCAACATAGGAAACGTTACAGAGCTATCGGCTATATTCTCCATGCAGTACTTCCATCCCTGCGACCAATTTGTATGATTAAGGTTTTGTGCCTCTTTATCCTCTTCACCTATTTCACCCACCCTATCCCTTCCCCATTAGTCTCTCAGATTATGTAAAAAACAAAATGTGAAATTATAAACCAATTACAGTAACACTAGATTTTAGACTAAGAATTGCTTTAAAAAATGTATTAGTCTCCTAAGTCATGTAAAGAACAAAAAGAGGAGCTACAAACTGCAGTTACTATAGTGCAAGCCCCGACAGCTGCTTGTATTTGCCGTCACCGAGCTCTGCATCTCTTCATGCGGTGCCATGTCACTGCCAGTATCCTTTCACTTCGGTCTGGAGATGCCAGCAGCCCTGCTTTCCGGGCAAGTCTGGCAGGAACAACTTGTCGCGGCTCTTCTTTATCTGGGAAGGTCCTTCATTTCTGGAGGACAGCTTGCCAGAGACAGGACTCTTGTTAATAGGTCTTTTTCTTTTAGCACTTGCGTATTATCAGCCCATTGCTTTCTGGCCTCCCAAGTTTTTAAACAGGAATCTGCTGAGATTCTTACCGAGGCTCCCCTGGGACAGTGACTTCTTTCTTGCTGATTTCAAGACTGTTTTTGTCCTTCAACAGTTTGATTGTATGCCTTTGTAGGGGTTCCTTTATTAGAGTCTTCCTACTTGGAGTTCATTAAACTTCTAGGATGTTTATATTCATGTTTTTCATCAAATTTGGGGAGTTTTCAGCCACTAATTCTTCAAATATTCTCTGTCACTCTCTCCCGCCGGGGCCCACACAGCGCACAGCCGGTCTGCTTGATGGCGATCCACAGGTCCCCTATGCTCTGCTCATTTTTCTTCAGTCTTTTTTATTTCGGTTCTTCAGACTCAGTATATTATTTCCATTGTCCTTTATTGTAGCTTTCTTACACTTTCCACTATAGTTTCAAGTTCACTGATTCTTTCATCTTTCTGTTCACATCTGCCTTTGAAGCAAGCCCTCTAGTGAGTTTCCTTTTCAGTTATTTTACTTTTCAGCTCTAGCATTTCTTTTTTCTTTCTTTTTAGGTTTTCTA